CCATCATCGCAGCATGAGGTAGAAGGGAAACGATCATCATCTACCTGCTCGTGAACCTTATTTTCTCGCTCGACCAAATCTGTTATGTCCCTTTGTTCTTCTCTCGCGACGCTGCACAAGGAAAAAAAATCGAAAGAAGAAAACAGAGCATAGAAGAAAAGAAGAGAACCTAATCATCTGCTTGCCATCATCGACCATCAACGACCACCATCATCAACTTCGTACGACCATTACCTTCATCATTATCGTCGCCATCCCCAGTCGATGCTCTCGGCCTTTTTGCTCCTTCCGCATCGCTTTCACCGCACCAGCATCTCCTCACGTTCATCATCACCATCGCAATTTCTGGACCACCGTTGTTAGCCATCAGGTCCTGTCGAGTCCCATCGGAGTGTCGAGCGTAGCCGTTGAGTCCCATCGTGTTCCGTCGGAGTGCCGAACAAAGTCGGCGAGTCCCGGCGTATTCTTTTTTTCCGCTCCCAACGTGCTTGCGACTTCAAGCCATCGCCATCTCTTGCTACCCGCAGACCGTCGTCGAAGTGGTCGTACCCCTTGTGCTGCTCGTTCGTTCCCGACATAATCTCACGTCCGGCAGACAACGTGCGGCCGCCGTTCATTGTTGCACCTGCTTTCGAGCCCCAGTTTGTTCTTGCGTGTTGCCGTTTACACGGCTAGACCCGAATCATTGCTGTTCGTAGGTCCGGCTCCCAGTTCAGCATTCAGCAGCCCCGCTTAGTCGCCCTTGAAATCACGTGCGAGCCACCCCCCTTGTTGTCGAGCCTGCATTTTAGCCCCGTTTCGTAACTCCGTCCCGAGAACGGTACCCGGGCTAACCCTCGATTTATTTATTCGCCCCTATGTGTGTTTGTGTTTAAGCGTTCGTATACGTGCTAAGTTTCTGAACATGTGAAATACGAGTCAATTTGGTGCTTTGGATAGGTTATTGTGTCGTATATTGAATTTATATGCGTTTTGGATATCAAAGTGATTGCCATCACTTTGGTTTATTATCGAATTGAGTTTCGAGTGGTACTTTTTTTCGTGGAAATCCTGAAGTTATAGGTATTTGGAGTTGTTCTTGATTTATTGGTTTTGGTTTGGAGTCGTTTCGATGTGTATATGCCGAGTTATGAATTTTCTAAACCGAGTATGTTGCTGAATCGTAATTAATTCATGATAAATCGTGTGATTGTCCGAATGCCGTGAAATTTTATATGTTATGTTATGTCATGATTTTGTAAGTCGTTTAAAATTTTCAAGTCGAAACTCCATCTTTAGCTATTTTAATTAATTAAATCGGTTTCTAGTAAGAATCTTGTAAAATTCATTAAACATCGTACACTTGGAGTTTTTAGCTGAAACTTTTTGGAGTATGTTATTTTGTGGTATTCTGTGTTGTGCCAAAATTTTGGATTAAAATTCGAAGTGTAACTATATGAACTATTAAACATCAGATTTTGGCACTATTTTACTTTAATTAATTAAAAATGCTCCCGGATTTTGAATTTTGTTTATTTTGGAGTCTTAATGCTCGTTTATCCATTGTTTAGGTTCAGGTTGGATTTTATTGATGTTGGCATGATTTATGTGTATTACTTGAGGTATATGAGTTGTGTCCAAGTCTAGTAGTCACTCCATTGTACTTAACTCGGACAAGGAATCCACGAGTCACTTAGTCGATATGATTTCGACTAAGTATATGTGCTTTGTGTGTTGTCTTGTATTGGATAGTCAGTTCATAGGCTATTATAATAGTTGTAGGTTCTTCGAGCTGAACTTTTGCCATTGTTCCTTCAACCCTGTGTTTGGCTAAATCTCGGTATCCAGGTGGGTTATTCGAAATTTGTTTACGCCTTGAATGATAATTTCTTTATTTATGTGGGTATGATCAATGTATGCATGTGAGCATGTAATCTTCGATGTGAGTTGTACCGGTCGTCGAACAGTTATCCCCCTAGCTATAGAACGTACCCCGCAAGGGTAATCTCCACGTTTGTCCTTTGCTAAGGACCACGTCATCTGTAAGACCTTGGCAATGTGCCCTAGCCGGTGATGGATATCCTGTCTCAGCACTAGGTGTGTGTTGTGACGGTTGAGCCTCCTGCTGTTTGGGCACCCCATTTATGTTCGCCGAAAGGCATACGAGCAGCAGTTTATTGTTATAGGTGTGCACATGAGAATACGTTGGTTAGGAGATGGGATATTTATTGATTATGTTCATACTGCGACCATGCCATTTAATTCCTCGTATATTATTGTTCATGTGCATAGTAGTGAGCACTACAGTTCATCGTGTTGATTCCCACCTACTCTTCATAGATGCAGGTTAAGCAGGTGTTGGCTGACGAGACAAAAGACGAGTGGTGGTGGTCTTTGACTGACTTCATTTAGTTTATTCCGCATGCTAGTAGACTTGGGTTTATTTATGCTTATTTATGACTTGGGAACTTTGGTATTTATGATTTATGACTTTGAAATTTTGAGAACTTTGGATTGGGAGATGTTCCCTTATGAACAATTTGGATGAACTTGGGATTTATGAAAACATTTGATTTATGATTTACGTTATTTATGTGATTTAGTTCAAGTAACTGATTTATGAAAAAAAATCTGAAAAATTTAAGTTGACTTTTGACTTTCGTCAAACTAAAAGTGGGGCGTTACATTGACCTATTCATGTAAATCACGGGGCTACAAAGTACCTCGTCGGGTCTTCCCTACCAATTTTCACAAATCGTCGGGTTTCAAAATACCTCGATGGGTCTTCCCGATCTTTCCACGTAAAACATAGGGGCTCAAAACACTCGTGATTTTTCCACGTAAAACATTGGGTCTCGAAACGACTCGTCGAGTCCTCCCAGCCTCTCGCTCTAAAACATCAGAGCTCGAAATAACTCGTCGTTTTCTCCTGGCCTCTTCACGTAAAACATCAAATCAAAACCTCATTGGGTCCTCCCGACCTCTCCACGTATGGGTTTCTTATTTTCTTCCTTCTCTTTTATTCTCCCAGCCATAATTTTTCTTTGTTCGTCCTTTTGTTACTTCCAAATTCCAATATTCAAAAGACAATCCCCACAACTTAATATGATTTATCGAACAGATTGCTCATATGAGATCAGATAGAACGAAAGAGAACGAGAGAAAAAGAAAAAATATCGTATTAGATCTGGAAAACGAGAATGAGAAAAAGTGTTTACAGAAACCCTAAAACTCCCTTTTATATGGGGAGAATAAAAGCTTGTTGGGCTGCTAATTCATCTCTCTACATAAAATGTGGCCCAACATAAAACTAATACAAAACATGCTCGAATATACGAAATAAGTCCAACTAATACAATATAAGCCCAAATATATGATTGTTACCTCCCCCCCCCCCCC